AGAGATAGGGAGGGGGTGTAGAGGCTGGAGGAGGTGACAGAGATAGGTGGGTAACCGCCCCGAGGAATCTGTGCACTCACCGTCTCTGTCACGAGCCTCCACGTTGAGTTGGTAGGACAGTAGGATCTCCAAACACTCCGTTCTCCCTCGAGCTGCTGCGAGGTGGAGGCTACAGATAAGCAGAGGTGGGGGCAAGGGAATGGGGTTATGGCACCATATCAGCGGGCACTGATTCCTGACAAGATCCCTCCCTCCAACACCCCCAACTCCAGCCAACCCCCAACCCATTCGCCATCGCCAACACAGTCCAGTTGGGACATCTTCAATGTTCACTTGCTTGAGGGACGTTGGCATGGGCCCAGCACTCATTGCCCATCCCTGGTGTGTGGGGCACAGACAGTGATGAAGGGGAGGGAGTTCCAGGAACACTGATAGATGTCCAAGTCAGGAATGTGTAGGGTTTGGAAGGGGCCTTGGAGATGGGTAGTGTGCCCATGAAAATGCCTCCCTTACCACCCCCCCCTCCCCCCACCGTAGAGGGTATAAGTGACAGGTTGGGAAGCTGCCATCCAAGGAGCCTTGGCGAGTCACTGCAGTGCATCTTGTAGATGGTACACACTGTTGTGACTGAGCGTCCGTGGCGAAGGGAGTGGGTGCTTGTAGGTGCGGTGCCGATCCAGTGGGCACTTTCTTGCCAGTGCCCCCCACACACCCCGGCAAGACCAAGACGATGGCACACAACTCACGGAGATCTCCCATCAGAGTCCAGCTTGGATGCCACCACCGTACCACCTTTGAGGATGGCATGCACCTTGCCAACATCTCCCTGTTCCACGGCACTCCGTAGCTTCTTCTCAGCCTTGGTCTGTCTCTTGGTCTGTCGGAACAAGAGCAGGTGGTTGGAAGAACAGGTCAATGCGTTCCCGTCTCAGTTGCCACTGCTACGGGCCTCAGAGGTGCTCTTCTGTGCCAGGGGACCACCAGGCACAGGAGGAGGCCAATCAGCTCCATCTGGTCTGCCCCTCTATTCTATACGATCACGGCTGATGAATTCTGGCCTCACCCTCCACGGTTTCTGTCTGTCCCCTCCATCCTCGGACTCTCTCATCTCCAACTCAGACTTGGTGTCCAGTGATCTCTCGATGGGATTGGTCCTCTACGAGACTCTCGATCCTCCAAAGGAAGAAATGCCTCATCGTTTCCAGTAGGGAGCCCCCTCGTTCCTAATCCATAGTCCCACCCGTCCCCATCTCCACCCAGGTCCAACACTGCTTCCCGGGAAAGGAAAAAAGATCATCGCAGTCTCCATCCGCTCGATGAGCGCCACACTGTCGGAGGGTTGGCGCTGAGGGAGCGGGCACTGTCGGAGGGTCAGTGCTGAGGGAGCGGGCACTGTCGGAGGGTCAGCGCTGAGGGAGCGGGAGCTGCCGGAGGGTCAGTGCCAAGGAGCGGGTGCTGTAGAGGGTCAGGGCTGAGGGGGCAGGCTCTATTGGAGTGTGACCATCCAGTAGTGCACACTCCCTCAGCACTGACCCTCCAACAGTGCCCACTCCCTCAGCACTGACCCTCTGACAGCGCCCGTTCCCTCAGCACTGACCGTCCGACAGTGCCCGCTCCCTTGGTGCTGACCCGTCCGACAATGCCTGTTCCCTCAGCCCTGACTCTCTGACAGTGCCCGCTCCCTCAGCACTGACCCTCTGACAGCGCCCGTTCCCTCAGCACTGA